TTAAAGTGCTCAGCACTATACCTCGCACACAGCACATGATCAGTGAGTGTTAGGTCCTTCCAACCACCTGCCCCTCTCTTCCCTTTTGAGGAGAATTTCTAGGCTGAGGGACTAGAGGCCTGGCTGTGTAAAGACTCAGGTGGGTAAAATAATTGAGTGACTAGCCGGTTCTGCTAAAGCTCTGGATATCCCCATTACATCAATGGTGCCAGTTTTATTTTCAGAGGCTACGAAAACAATCTGGTCAATTTCTATTGCAATCTTAAAGATAGTTTTCCTTAACCATAGCTAACTATAAGCTATTTTACCAAATGGAAAATATTCAGCATTATCACATGAAGGTGTCTCGAATGAATGAATGAATACAAAATGAATGAATCAATGAATACAAATGTAAAATTTTAAAGACAGGGGAAGGCCGTTTTCACATCATAACACCACTGTTACCCTAGAATCCAGCCCTTGGATTAATGGCTCTCCACAATTTGTACTGCTATTCCGTCTCCCTTCCTGATGTCCATATCCTCAAAACAGCACTGCTGATACCAGAAGCCAAGAGCAAAGACTGGAGAAATCAGCAGGTGCCCCCGCTGTGCACGAGCCGTTTTGGAGGAGATAAAGTCATTAAGAAAAATTTGAACAATGTATAACCTTTCAGCTTTACTCTGCTAACAGCAGGTAGCTTGCCCTTCAGAGACATGAGCCTGCACTGAAGTCACCAGTAAGCAGGACTTGACCTTCATTTTCAGTACACGCAGCATTAAATATTCATAATTCACGTAACTGTAGCATAAGAAATAGCAGAGTTTAAACATGAATCAAAGGAATAAATATCTTCACACAGGTGAGTCACCCTTTCCCAGAATGCCTCTGGAAAAACTGCAAATAACCAAGATCTGGAGCCTCTCTCTCTCCCAAGGGTCTCTTGAAATTCTAGAAGCAGCAGGAACTGCTGTGTTATGCAGTCCCTGAATCCTGCCCTCACACTGACATCACTGGGTCTCTTTTTTTTTCTTATCTGTTAGAAAAGAATTACTGTTCCTATGTCAAAGGGAGAAAATAGACAAAGATGGAACAGCAATGGTGACATTATCACCCACCGGGCATCTAGGGGTACTTTTGACTTGGTTGGACAATTTTTTAAAAATCTTTGCTTCACAGAGCATCAGAGAATTTGGGAGGAAAGGGTTGGCATAGGCATGGAGAGACATCAGAATTAGGAGCTGGAGTGCCATGTACCTTACACTGGGCACAATGCCTTTAAAAAGAATAAAAAGGAAATGGAGTTCTTTTGGACAATATCTGCCATGCATGGCTAATTTAATATCTTTTGGGGGATGGGATTACTGTGTGTGGCAGGCTTAATACTTCTCTGAGTCTGTCAAGAAATTGACATTTGTATCAATCCAGACACTGGGTGGAATATCTCCCTCTGCTTGGGTGTTTCTAGAGTCTACTCCTGGGATGATAAAGCATCACTTTAACAGTTTAATGTAATTCTTTTTGGCTTTCAACTCCAGGAGCTCTGAGCACGATCCATCTTAGCTAGGTAGTAATCACTTGAGGCTGCACAAGTGATCCTTCTGTGGCAATCACTCCAAGAAAATTAAGACCCAAAGACAGGCTTCTCAAACTCCCGAATGAAAAAGATCTACTCAGGGATATATCTGGGCCCAATAAAGGAAAAGGAAAGATGTGTAGGAGAGGACATCTTTGGAAATGACTTATCAACTGCCTCTTGATAGTAAGATAAGATTTGAAAGGTTAAAAAGATCATAAACCCACCCATTATGACATTTATCTGAACTGCCCTGCCCACCTGCTGCTGCACAGAAGCAGAACAAGCACCAGGCCTGCCTGTCTGCTCACCCAAGCTGAACTGGCCTGCCTTGACACTGAGCGAGCAGAGCAGACCAGGAGAGCCTGTTTTATACACGAATCTGCATTCTCCCTCTTCTCAAAAGGTTGGGTGCAGAGAACCTCACATCCTGAACTTGTGCTGCTGGGGCATTCCCACCATTTGGGGGGAGGCCAGCTCTGGTTAAAATTCACTGGGACAAGCCATTTCATGGACAATGTCTGCCCAATTAGGTTCATGCAAACGAAAGCCTATGTATTGTCTTTTGACTTATTTATTTGAAGCATATACAGTCACATGTCACTTAACGACAGGGATATGTTCTGAGAAATGCACTGTTAGGCAATTTTGTTGTTGTGTGAACATCATAGAGTGTACTCACAGAAACCTAGATGGTATAGCCTACTACACAGCTAGGCTACATGGCAGTAATCTTGGGGGACCACCATTGTATATATGGTCTATCATTGACTGAAATGTCATTATAAGGTACATGACTATACTAACTAAAGCTCATCTGAAAAATATTGGGTACTCTTTTTCAGGGTGATGACTTAGCATAACTTCCAAGAAAAGTTTACAGCTCTCTTTCCAAGCTACTTGGGTGGCCAGCCAACCACGAGTGTATAAAACCAGCAACAGTTTTGAATGAAAAGGATTGATTTTAAGAATTTACATCCTGATTTCCGTTTGCATCTTATATGTGGATAGAACTTTTTATCTTGTTTACTATGCTTAATTCTGATGGGTTATTTTTTTTATTCCTGAGAATCTCTGGATTATCATAAAGGTTATTTTAGAGATTCTACTTTAATCCTCCCCTTTAGTTAAAGTGAGCATGCTTGCTGGCTTTCCCCAGGAAGAGGGTAGCCTCCTTGGTTTGAGTCTGCTGATCAGGTCACCCACAGAATAGAACCTTGGGATACGGCTTCAGAACTAAATGTAATTCAAATGAAAAGTGGAAAGAGCTACATAAATAAACATAAGGTCATCTTATAAACAAAGTTTCACTATGCCAAACCACACAGTTTAGTGACAAAAAAGAAAGACTGAGGTTAGGACAAGGCTAGGACAGTCCTCAGGGAAAGTGAGGTCAGCCTTGGTTCTAAGATTATTGGTATTTTTGCTGAGCAAAGCTGAGAATAGGCCGAAGGTCCATCCTTGGGATTAACTCTTTGCAAGTCCATAAAAGAAAGCACAGCCAGAGAGGATTCTCAATGCCAGCTTTCCCAAGGCTTAGCAGAATTATAACTAAATCCAAAGGACACTGAAGTGGTGCAGGGCTCCAGGGAAGTGGGTCTTCCTTGGGGAATTCCATCCCTTTCCATCCTCTCACATGGAGCCGAGAACACCCAGATCTACAGAGCAAAAGACTGCCTTATAGTAGACACCATAAAAAAGGACACAATTCAAATCCATCTAGCAAGAGCATTTTATTGATGAGAAATACAGAGGAGTAAAAAGAGACAGAAAGGGAAAGAAGGCACCGAGGCAACAGTCCATCTGAGCAATCAACACATTCACCTCCATGTAAGGGTTTGCTCTGTCTGGGGCACATAGACTACATACTTGAACCTATTTCCTGAGCCTGGCAGGTAGTTGGCAGGGTATGCACTCCATGACTGTGAGAACACTCCTCACTCCTAGCGAGAGAATGGAGAAAAAAGACCAGGGGCTTTAGAAGATCTTGGTTCAATTCAAATATGATCCAAAATTATTAAGAGGAGATATTGAAAAGAGGCTTACCTTCGGTAACATATCGCTTGGAGTTTCCAAACTTAAAAAGCTCTTCTTTTTCTTGGTCAGGAAGAGCTGATGAAGGAGCTTGTAGAATCTCGTCTTCTGGAGGACTTTTAAAGGACCCTCCAACTGAGATGGGCAAGGGCAGACCAGCTTTGTATGGGGGCATGGGCTGAAGAATCTCTAACATTCTCAGACGCGGCTGATTCCCAGAGACAGGTGATTAGAGAAGATGTTTTCTTTATTTTCCCTGCCAAGATGTTTTGGCCTTGGCACCCAAATGCACAAAATCCTTTTGCTGGTGACCAGATCACTCTGAGAAATTCAGAGTTTGGGAGTGCATGAAACTATCACCATCCTGAGCCACAGGAAAAGAACTCTAAGCTCAGAATTCAGGTACACCAGGGTCTAAGCCAACAACAACACCAAGCAGGTTTCCTTGGATCAAACTCCAGCATCTAGCCATATCAGGAATAGAGTTCAAGGAGTTAAAAACACTCTCACAATGGACAACGCAGGCAAAGAGCTCAAGGCCACTGTGCAGTTGTCAAGTTCAAGTCACCACAGAAAGGCGAGTCAGATGACTCAACTCTAGTTTCCCAGATGTGGACAGCTTCAAGCTTGCAATAGAATAGTTGGAACAAATGATGCACCCAGGGTAACACCTGCATGAACCAGGGCAGAACTGGCCACCACCTAGCAGCTCTGCTCAGTGACCTCTTCTGTCTCCTACAAAGCCTTTACTATCTGTTGCACAGACTCCACCCCAGGCTGGAGCACCAGTTCACTCAACCGGACCCCAGGGACCTGCACGAGTGCCCACCATAGGAATTCTCAGATGGCCACGGGCCTCCACCTCTGGGAGTCATCATGAACTCCTCTATCCCATCTCCTTACCTTCAGAAGTCAGGAAGCACCAGTGAGTGATACTTCTGCTGAATGTTCGGTTGGCAGGTGCAAAGGATAGCATCATGCTTTCTAACTAGACCTCCAATAAGGTTAAAGCATAGGAAACCCTAATAAGAAAAGGACCCTACCACCGTGACAAGAATGGTTCATTCTTGTAACTCTACCAGAGGTTGTCAATTCACATGAAAGCCCTCTTAACCTCTTGACACCTTCAGTGCAAATACTTGATGATCAGGAAACAGCTATTTAAAAATAAATAATAACCAGCAAAAAGGTTTGACTTCAGCTGCCTCTCTCTCCCTCCTAGGCCAGCATAATCAAAGTGGCCTTCCTCATGAAAGCTTGCTTTCCCACTCAGAAAATCAGCACAAACAGCCCTGCCTTCCTCTAAAAGTCATCCCCACTCAGGAGGCTCTTGCAACGGTTGGTGTTAAAGTAAATCAATTGATCAATGTAAAGAAAAGAGGACAAGACAGCATATTTGAATACTCACTTTGACGAATCTATGAAGTATATTACAAGTGCACCAATGCTGAGAGCAAAGACTAAGACAACCTGCAAAGGAAGAGAAAACACCATCACTTCAGAGCTGAACACTGGGGTTTCATTGATTTATTATTTGACAAATGCAGCAGCAGCGCCGAAGCCTGGTGTCCATCGCTTTCTGGGGCCTGCCTGGAAAGTTCATCCCCTTGGGGCCCCCACATACCACCCTGACGTTGGCTCTTTACTTTGCAGTGGGCAGCAACCTCGCTGCTGGCCAACAGGGGTCAGGTCAGACTTTTGTATGGCATGGCCCTAGGTTTTTATCTGGCCCTGTTATCTCAGGGTCCAGCTTCTCCACAACTGAAGGCAATACACTTCAGCGGGAAAAAAGCAGGTAAAAAACTGAGATGATACAATTTTTCATATTATGTATAATCTAGGCCCAAAGGAACTCAAATACAGGAATATCAATTTTTAACAGCTTTACTGAGGTATAATTTACATACCATAAAATTCATCCATTTTATGTGTACAATTCAATGACTTTGAATAAATTTACTAAGTTGTGCAATCATCACCATAATATAGTTTAATCATCCCAGTAAGATCCCTCATGCCCGTTAACAGTTAATCCCTGTTCCTACCTGCAGCCCTAGACAACCACTAATTCACTAATTTACTTTCTGTTTGTATGCAAGAAATATCAATCAAAAAGTACAAATTTCCACATATGTGGGTACGTACGCTGCTTGGACAAATGTCCATATATGTGTGTACCTGTATGTGTGTGTGTGTGTATACATATATATATATATTCACCCCATATATACAAAGTATGTGTGTGTGTGCATGCACGCTCATGTGTATGTGTGTGTGTGGTTATAGTACATCTGAAGGATTCTGAAAACCGTTTAGGTGCAGGAAGCCAACTTAGGTAACACATTAGTCCAGTTAAAGGACAATCCTTGTTCTTCTTTAAACTTGTCACTCAAAATTAATCACCATTGATATAAAAGGCTGTTTTGGCATCTCCTTCGAAGGATGCCTGTCACACTAAAGTCCGTCAAATGAACATGCGGCCGATTAGGCCGATACTGACACTTCTATCCTCACTCAACATTCCAATTTGTTTCTTTAATCTTCCGCAGAGGAGACTAGTAATGCCACTAAAAGGATGTTCAAAAATAAAAAAAGACGCCAGAGACAACAATTAAGCTTCAGAACAAAAGGTAAACACCACCACCACACACAATGCCAGGGATCAACAAAGACCTTTCAGACATGCTAGTATCCTGTAGAGACTGCAGACTGAAAGGTATTAGAAGTGTCAGTCTCCTCAGAGTACCCCCATATTGACATCCCTCTGACATTGGCTGGTAGAGAGAAACGATCCCAACTGATGTAAAGACTAGGCGTGATCGAGCTGTGTGTGTGTGTATGTGTGTGTGTGTGTGTGAGAGAGAGAGAATCATGCACACACATCTGTGTACGCATACACATCTGTATTGTGTGTGCGTGTGCCAAAGTGGCTGATAGAAAAGGAAATCTATATGAGATACTCATTTAAAACATTACAAACTCCATGAGGCTACTGGGGAGGGATGGGGGTTACAAAGTAAAGAACTAACACTTAAAACAACTGGACACTGTAAGAGGAATATGCAATTTCACAGCACCTGATAAATGCTCCTTATGAAAGGTAGTGTTAAAACAATACACCACTGGGACTTGTTTTATTCTTCCATTTCATTTTAAAAACTAAAACATGCTTTGGTGGAAGCCAAGGAAACTCCTGCAGTCCGTCAGTAACTGCCATGGACCAGCGCTCGTCCCCCAGGCTCACCTCAGTCTCTCCCCTGACACACATTCATTCACGCATTCCTTGCAAAGGTACGCACAAAACCAAACAAAACATAACAAGGCCTCTGCTTTTCCCTCTCTTATCTGAATGAGGCAGCAAAACAAATAGCTTAAGATTAATGTTGATCTGTGCTGCTATTTCTGAGACATAAGCAGTTCGATCCTAGCCCTGACCTCATTCTCAAAATGCTGCAGAGAAGGGGTGTGGCCAGAATGGAGAGGAGGCCCTCGTCTTCATTCATAAACAGCTGATCCAAGACTAATCTCTTCAATTTGGCTGTGTGTGCTTGTGTCTGTGAATGCTGAGCTTCTGTCAGTGCTGGCTACACACGCCTATTCCATTAAAGCTGGAGAGAAGATGAGAAAGGCCGAGGGGGAGGGGAGGAGGGGAGGAGAGAAAGGAAAGAGGAAAGGAAAAGGAAAGAAGTTCTTACAAATAGCATGGACATCATTCTGAAATGAACTCAAAATCTAAGCTCTCCTGCAACGGTGATGATTCCCCAGCCTTGGGGTGGCCAGACGAAGTAGCTGACACTAATTTGTCCCAGCTGCCTCCGCTTGGCCTCTGTGATGGGGAATAATGTGCAGCATATTTAAGCAAATCACCCACCAATGAGAGGGAAGGAATCCTGCTATCCTCTTAAGATGCAAACTCGTGTATCAGCATCTCTCTGAGTGGGTAAGGGAGAAAGAAGGCCAGAAGGAAAAGGACCTGCAAAGCCCCAGGAAGTAAAGGTTCTGACGAGCGGACCTGTGCTCAGGCTCAGCCAGAAGGATTTCTCTAAATGAGGTGCATGGGGGCCAACTACCCCCCGCACCCCCACCCAGCCTCCAGGCAGGAACAATCAAGGGGAGAGGACCTGCTTCTCAGCATTGGGGCAACTGTGCGTGTGATTTTTAAACTTGCTAAATGGCTCTTTATCATGTCAGGCTTGAATACACTGTCAACCTGGATCCAAGTGCTGCAGAAAATGAATCAACCCTTTGGATTTGGCCATGAAAACAGGAATCCAACAGAGATGCATCTTCTACAGAGCCCTAGCAAAGGACCAGTTCTCTCTCCCTCTCTATCTCTCTGTCTCAATCTCTCTGTCTCTCCATCTCTTATTTTTATCTCTCTGATAAATACCCCATTGTCTGAAAACCCTACTCTAAATATGAAAAAATTCAGTCCAAGTACACAAAACAATTAGATTTTAGCCTAAATGGTAATGTTTATGTGATAGAGTACCTCCAAATAATCATCTAAGTACTTAGTTCATATCAGCTATGCATAAGCCCCTAGGAAAAACAAGAGAATGACGTCCACTTGGAGTCATAAAATATACTCCCTTATAGAGGAATCCTTACATACACGTATCTCTGTTATTATGCAATTAGTGCTCACTTGTACAGTATAGGTCTAGTCAGTATATAATAAGCTATTAACTAGGTGGAACATACATAAATGGAGAAGGAGTTCGGGAAGGGTAGGAACCACAGGGGCTCTTGTCTCAATATCATCTTCGTTCTCAAAGTGTCCCCTCTCCCCCCATGTTATGGCCACTCTAACACCCCTTATGTAAGAGGGAGGGCCACTGGGAATCCTTCCATGTGCTTCTATAGTCCCAGGGATGAGGGACACTGAAGCCCGAGGGACATGGTAAGATGAGGCCAAGAAAAGCATAATACACGAAACAAGGCAGCACTTGCCCTCCAGCAGCTGAGTCATGGAATATCCCTCACCAAGCACCTTACAAAGCACTGTTACAAACAAGAGCTTGTGAACACACTGTGACACACGGGATAGGTGAGCACTCCTTCTCTGGGCACACCTGTGCTAACCTTCGCTAGAGCTTGTCCAGCCTTTCTAACTTTTCATAGTCTGGGTTCACCAGAGCGCCTCAGCTACCTTGCATGGTGCTCACTGCCATATTCTTAGGTTTACTGAAAACACTCATAGGCTGTGTGGTGATACTGAATATACTGAGTACTGAGTGATATTTACAGAGAGCCAGATTCCTAAATACAAAAGCAATTTGATAAATATCATTGGAACAATGGTGCCCATGAGTCATCTATTTTCAAAACTCCAAGATCAAACAGGACGTGTGTTTGCACAGAAGAATGCCAGGAACACAGACACACACAGAGTGTACTAAAAGAATGTCTGTGCCTCACACCTGACACCAGGAGTCTGATGATAAGTGGAGAACAGAGAGGAGAAATGCACAGCCATCTTCGTGACGGAAATTCCAACAGGCCCTGAAGATCTTCCAAATGTCTGCGAAAGTTCGTAAAAATGGAAAACAATATGGCAAAGCACAGAGTATCCTCCCTCAGTTCACCAGAGCGCCTCAAGGAAGAGACAGGTCCAGAGATGTGAATACAGAGGCAAATGAATCAGGAGAGTTGGCTCTTCAGAGATATTGCCTGTTCTAGGACCTGGTTTCCAGTTGTCGGATTTAGGCCTAAATGCTTTCAATCAGCACATGAGGCTACACGGGCCTTCAGACATGGATTTGGAGCAGAGGCCCACAAAGGTGGCTACCGCCAGAATCCTAAAAAGCCAAGAGGTCCTTCTCCTGCTCTGGGACCAGAGAATCGGGAGCTTGGGAACGGGGAGGCTGGGCATCTCTATTTTTAACAAGCCCCTCCAGTGAATCTGATGTGTGGCCAACAACTGCAGTTACTGAATTAGAAGAAACCACTTAGCTCAAGTCAGAGATTAATTTACAAATGTCACCTTAACAATTAGCCCATTAGAACACATGTATGCGGCCTGCAGGCTTTGAGAATCGTGCTAGGAGCGCTCTAAAAAAGTACAGAGACGAGGAGGAATTAATTCTCTCCTGAGCAGGTTTTACACATTCTGCTCAGCTCACAGCAGAACAAATGACCCTAATTAATGATTCTGCATGTTTGATGGGGACCTAGCCATCTACTGGCGGCTGCGACCCCTCAGATAATGGACAGCTTTCTATCTATGATCCCGAAGGTACATGACTTTTTTTTTAATTGAGGTATAATTTATATATAATAAGATTACCTATGTATAAAAAATAGACATAAGAACTCCCAGGGCAAAACCATCTGGGGACATTTTGTTTATGAGAGATAACTTCATTCCAACATCCAAATTATAAGGTTTGGTCTGGTGAATTTAACACCTCCGACAAACATTTATTGAACTCTTGTGCACAAGGTCCAGAGGGAGAGAGAGGGAAAGA